CAGCAGCCACTGAGCCATTTGCGTCAGCGATTCACCTAGACCCAGACATCCAAGGTTTGTATATGAATTATAGAATCTTGAAAATCTAAGTTTTTGCAGACAGTGTGGTACTTTATCTGACTGACCCCGTAAAAGCTTTGAAAGGAATCAACACCATCTTAAGTGTTTTTAAAAAAACTTAAGGGCAATCCAAAAAATTTTGGAAATTTACCCGATATATTTACATCTGTGGTTTTGGGTCGGCTCTGGTCCTGGGGTGGGTGGGGGGTTGCGTTATATCACTGCACCTAGCTGAAGATCACCGATGCCGATGAAAATTGTTAGTACACCATCTGAATCATTCAAAGATTACCATCAAAAGAATACCATCACTAGCACTTTAATTGTTAATTGTTGGATTGCTTTTAATGTTTAATGTTGTTGTTGTAAGTTGTTTAAATTTTGTACATGGTTTTATGGTACAGGGTACCAATTAGAGTAAGCCGCCCTGAGCCTGCTTGCGGGGAGGGCAGGGTATAAATTAAAATAATAAATAAATAAATAATGAAGAAACCTCTCAATATATTAAGCAACTTTTCCAGTTTAAATGGATTGTCAGGTACCTCTGAGACTTCAAGATTTATTCCAAGCTAACTATGGTAAATTATTACCAGATGTCCGAACGTCTGTTAAAAACTGGAAGTCACTAAACTTAATATGGGCTGAGAAATTACATCTGATGAAGTCCTTTATTCTTCCCAGATTTATGTTTTTATTTAGAATGTTATCACTATTTCTGAATCAATTTTTAAACAATGGCAAAAACTTTTAAACAATTTCATTTGGAATGACAAGAAGGCAAGGCTGAACTTTGTCACTCTATGCAAACCCCCCAAGTTGGGAGGACTAGCATACCCAAATTTATTACTATATTATCAGGCAACCCAACTAATGAACCTTTTAAGCCTTGTGCAAGGTACTCCCCCTGTGCTGCCTGTGGACACATATTGAATAGTCTTTTTGCAGGCTTGAAACAAATCTATGAATTACTGTGGAACACACCTAGGGAATATGCTATTGTGACTGGTAACAATGTGTTGGTTTTTGTGAGACGACTGTGTCAATTTGGGATAAATGGAAAAAACTATCCCCCCCCTTTCCCCCCACACTAGCTATTTAGGCCAGAGTTGGTTTGGACCAGTGCTTGACCCTGCAACTTTTGATTAATGGAGAATTGCTAAAGCATCAAAATTGAAAGATGTAACTAAGAGGGGTGTCCTTACGGACAAAAAAAGATCTGGACAAATTACGGGATAAACCTATGCACTGGTATCAATACATCCAACTAAAACATGCAGTAAATGCCCTAGCCATTTCACAAGGTCTGAAAAGAGAATTAACAGCTTATGAAACCCTTCTGAATCGAAGCTCCCTTCCTTCAAAAGGCCTTAATTTCTATTGTCTATAAAATCTTATTGACCATTAAAAAGAGCAGAGAACCCACGTATGTTCAAAAATGGAATTCAGATTCCCAGGGGACTCTCACCATGTGTCAGTGGGAGTCGATCTGGAGCTCTCATACTTTGAGATCAAAAACTTTATCAATCAGAGCTGTAAGTTTTAAATGTATGTCTAGATGGTATTTGACACCTCAGAGGGTGCACCATTTGCAGCCATTTCCCTCCCTGATATGTTGGGGGGGGGAGGAGATTGGATTTATACCCCGCCCTGCACTACCCAAAGGTGTCTCAGAGCAGCTTACAAACTCCTTTCCCTTCCCCTCCCCACAACAGGCATCCTGTGAGGTAGGTGGGGCTGAGAGAGCTCTTGACAGAAACTGTTCTTTTTCAAGGACAGCTCTTAGCAGAACTACAGTTTGCCCAAGGTCATCCAGCCAGGTGCAAGTGGAGGAGTGGGGAATCAAACCCGGTTCTCCCAGGTTAGAGTCTGTATGAATGGAAGGAAGCGTATGCTGAATTTCTCCACTAGAGTGCTACTAAACTCAAAAACCATGGCGTTAAATTTCTGGCTGGCCATGGTTACCAACCAATATTTGTAGTCACCCTCAGCCTTTCTAACCACATATCTTCTGCTACATTCTCTACATACCATAGAAAGGAACAGTTTCTTGCTACTTCCACAACTGTGGTTACCAGAATGATTCTCAGTTACCAACCACAACTGGGTAAACCACATTTGCAGAACTTTGCAGAGAAGATACCTTACCTTATCTACGTTTGCTCTGGTTTTTGCGGATGTCTCTACATATTGTACACTCCACTCCTCTGCTTTACTTCTGGCTGCTTCTACAGGCACTTGTCGGCGGTCTTCCAAATCAGATTTGTTTCCCACCACAAGCAAAGGTATTTTGTCCTCTTCAGCTTTCACACGTAAGATCTGTTCCCTAAATACAGAAGAACACAACAATAGCAGCTTCCCAGATAGCGACAATCAGATTCCATGATGCACCAAGGAATTATACAAGTAATTTTGAAACAGATGTTTTTAGAAAGGTAACCTTCAAGCAAGTACATACAGAACCTAAAAGGCAATCTATGAAAAAACCCACTGCACAAATTCATTCCCTTCACTAACTGGAAAACAGATATTTTCACCTTCCTACTGCAACACAAAGGGAGCTCAGAAAGCAACAACACAAGTAAAAAAACTACATCTAAACTTTTAATTTATGGATAACTCTACTTTTTATAAACAGATACTGTTTTATAAACAGACTAGGAGTAATGCCCGTTGTGGGAAGAAATACAACGAGATCTAGAAGGAAGCTCCAGATGAGTGTCCCGACTGTGGCTGGTGGGGCGGCAGAGGGAAGGGGAAAATGGAGGGAGGCAAGCCATGTTTCTTTCCTTCTGCTTAGCTATAAGGCAGGGCTATCTCAAGTCATTTTGCTGCCCCAAGTGGGTAGAATGGGAGGACAGCCCCATGGTAACAGATATGGTCCTGTCCACCTCTGACTTATTTTTTGAGGGGGAGGGGGGTGTTATGCAGTGGCAGCTAAGGTAGAAAAGCACCTCCTCCTGTGCCATGTTTTCTGGGATCCAAGGGTCTGGAAAGTAGTTCCATAGCTGATTCCATGGTTGCCAACTCTGGGTTGGGAAATACCTGTAGATTTGAGGGGTAGAGCCCGGGGAGGGCAGGATTTGGGGTGGGGAGCCTATGTCAATGGGCCCCCTATAGGTTATAATGGAGAATTGATCCAGGGGTATCTGGGGCTCTGTTTTTTTAGTTATTTATTTTTTATATTTATACCCCGCCCTCCCCGCAAGCGGGCTCAGGGCAGTTTACAAGGGAGCACTAGTGCTCACACATAAAAACACAGTAAAACACAGTAAAACCATTTAAATCAACAAAGAATAAAGTGCTCAGTAAGAACAGGATGGTCTCCATAGTTTGCAGGGGAATAGCAGGCTGCTCTGCTATTAAAGGTGGTATTGCCTATAGTTGGTACTAGAGATGTAAAAGTTCTGGAAATTTTGAAGCTCGGGAAAAGGCTACATTAGCATTTCTTTTGTCTTTTCTAGATTGAAAGTCATTCTGTTACTTTAGGAACATAAAATATGACTATGGACATTTTTACTTGGCATGAAATTATCACAACTAGCATATTAAAAATATAGTGTATCCAAACAATTATTTCAAACAGAATACCCACCCACATGCAAAAACAAAACTGAAACTTTTTTATTTTCTTCTGATAATCGCACCTCTTAAAGGAAGAAATGCATCTTGTTCTTGCATTGGAGGGTTCAGTTTGTAACCTAGGACTTGCTTGTCCTCAGTGCACAGAAATTAGATCAATCTGATACCATATATATATATTTTAGACATGATTTGGAAAATATTTGAACACCTTGTCTTAAAATATTTTATTCATCATGTTAAAATAAAACGTTCCATAATCATTTTTTTTTCTTTTTTCAATTTTTCGGAAAAAAACAAAAAGGCTTCAGGAAAAAAACGGAAAAAAAATTTCCCCGAATTTTTCTGTTTTTTTTCTGGGCCTTCTCTAGTTGGTACATAGTCCAACTATAGTTGGTACATAGTCCGGTGGTACCAGTGCCATGTGCTATTTTGGCAGATCTTCCATGGCCATCCTTCCATCCCATTATTAACCACATGATGGTGGTAGTGGTGGTAGTGGAGTCCCCTACGTAAAAGCCTGGCAGAAGAGCTCCGTCTTTCAGGCCCTGCAGAACTGCATGAGGTCCCGCAGGGCCCTGATTTCCTCTGGGAGCTTGTTCCACCAGGTAGGGGCTGCCACTGAAAAGGACCTGGCCCTGGTCACCGCAAGCCTTACCTCCTTGGGGCCTGGAATTGCCAGGCGATGTTGTATCCCCGATCGAAGTGCTCATGGGGGTATGTATGGGAAAAGGCAGTCCCTCAGGTAGGTCGGACCACTTAGAGACACCAAATTTGCCCCATCCTCCATTGTTTCCTATGGAACCTTGGTTGTAAGCTGAACAGAAATCCTCTGAGCTGGCCTCTGAAAAGTTGTGTGCCAGCGCCCCCTAGCACAACTTAGAGGGAACTGTGCTTATAACACCTCCAATCTCAGAATTACATATGCTTGTCAACATTTATCTACTTTGGTACTTCAGCTTAATGTATTACTAACCCTGTATTTCTTTCATTATATTTTACATTGCATGTTGTCCAGATTTAATCAAGGACCAGGATTGAGGACAGTTCATATGGTGAAGTCATTACATACCTAAACTCTGCTGTTGCTGTAAAGGATTCATGCTCAGTAATGGAAAAAACTAGAAGAAAACCTTCTCCACTACGAAAGTAGTTGTCTCGAATAGCTGCGTAATCTTCTTGTCCTGCTGTATCCAAAATATCTATCTGGACTTCTTCACCATCCAGAACTACTTTCTTTCTGTAACTATCAGCCTTTGTAGGTTCATAGTCTTCAACAAACTGAGGAATGAAAGACAAGCAATTAGCCTGGGAATATCAGCATTTTACTTTCAAAGCTTTAATTTTGTCTATATCGCTCTCTTGTGCAAGAAGCATTAACAATTCCCAAACGCCATCCAGAGAACCAAGAGCCATTATAGGTGGCAAGAAAGTAATAGGAATATGTAAGGATAGGAACAGAATATGCAGTTTTAAATGGGCAATAAGCAAGAGTGGCTACTGATAATTGGCGGGGAATCACAATTCAGCATTTCAGCTGTAATTAATTTCCTTTAAAAAAAACAACACCCTAGTTCTATTGCATTGTTTGCTGTCTGATTTTGATAGATGTAGTAACGTGCCTTGCATCTCAGTGAGAAAGTTGGCCTATAAATGAAGTATGTACACCAAAACAATGCATGTATTGTGGCTTGATGTTGGTGACCAGGGACCAGCAAGTCCCCACAGGTATCTTCCATAAATTCATTTGCATGACCTTTTACTGGTGAACTTCCCAGTAGCTATCAAGTTTCACTTCTGGATAAGATCATCTACTTCTGTGGGACACAGCAGGGCTGATGAGACAAAGGAGAAGGAGCAGTCTAAAGCAGAAGACAACATTGGAAAGAAGCAGCACCACCTGGCACTGATTCTCACCAAGACCTCTATAGAAGCCAGTGAAGCTCTACGTTGTAAAAGACAGCCCTTATATAAATATAAACAATGTATCCTTTTCTTAAATGTTCAGGAAATATTTAAATAACCCTCTGAAGTTGTATAAAGATTCTGTTCAGTTTAAGTATTTTTACAGTCAGGGCAACTAAATAATGAAGAACTTAAATAATGCATTGATTTAAATAATGCATTTCAACCAGTCTTTTCCTTGGTGATCTGAATCAATCTACCCAGCAACAAACTATGCTGGATTAAAGCTCCATTTTCAAGGAATACTCAACCCATGAATTCAGAGATCTGAAGTAGCATAAGGAATGCCACACCTATCTGTGCTGCCATAAGGCCAGTCGTGTGCCGTTTTCTGGTGCAAATAAGTCAATTGTAAGTCAATTGTAGTGTTAATTGAGCGGCATAGCAGATAGTGGGATTATTTGTGTTACAGGGGGAAAGAAGTGGGTTACAACAACAGCATTAACAGATCAACTGGTTAGCTTGCTGTCGGTGGTCTGGTGCTCTGGCGTAGACTGGCCGTTGCAGCGATGCCACTACAGCAGATTCCGGTGCTCTGTGGGAAGTGAAAGAGTAGCGGTGGGCCCAGGCGGAATGATAAAGGGAGGAATCCAAGAAACAAGAGGGCTCGGTGTTCTTCCAGCCTGCATCCCATCCCGAAGGATGTCGGCAGTGGGGCTAGGATTAGTAATCCCCCTCCGTCACTGGTGTTGTGCAACACCAGGTCTATCAACAACAAGACAGCAGTCCTTCGGGACTTCGTCATAGAACACCAAGCTGACCTGGCGTGCATGACCGAGACCTGGGTGCGGGAGGGGGAGACCGTAGCGCTCTCCCGGCTTGCCCCACCAGGGTTTTCGGTCCTACACCAATCACGGACTAGGGGACGGGGGGGAGGAGTGGCAATGTTCGTACAGGAGGCTTAGTCCTTCAGGGCGCTCCCTGCATTGGAGATTGCGGGTTTAGAGTGTGTCGGCCTGTTGCTGGAGGCCGAGGAGAGTGTGGCAATCTGGTTGGTGTACCGGCTGCCTAACACACCGGCCAGTTGCCTGCCGTCCCTGCTGGAGGCCGTATCAGGCTGGGCATTGGAGCACCCCAGGTTATTAGTCTTGGGTGACTTCAACGTCCATGCCAATGGCGCAGCCTCCAGCCGGGCTACGGACCTAGTGACGTCCATGGCGGCGCTGGGACTCACCCAATGTGTATCGGTCCCTACGCACCAGGCGGGGCACACGCTCGATTTAATCTTCATGATGGGGATTACAGTGGTCGGACCCAGGCGGGGCACACGCTCGAGCAGATGCAGTGCCATGGTCGGACCACTATGCCCTGAAGGCACGTGTGAACGTTCCGCCCTGACCCTGTATGGGCGGCGAGTGGATTTTAGCTCGCTCGCGGAGCCAAATGGACCCGGTGCGGCTTCAACTGACCCTGCGGGAACCGATGCCCCCTGGCGGTTTGTTGGATGAGCTTGTGGACGACTGGCATAGTCGACTCTCCACAGCCATCAACGTGATCGCTCCCCGGCACCTTCGCTCTAAGCTAGAACCCTGGTATACCCAGGGGTTGCGGCTGATGAAGCAAGAATTAAGACGGTTAGAGAGACGGTGGCGCCGAGCCACTATCCCCGAGCTCGTGACGAGGCTACAAGAGCATCTTATAGGACGTTTATGAGATCCTATGAGATGGCAGTCAAGGCTGCGAAGAAGGATTTCTACGCAGCCAGGGTTGCATCCGCTAGCTCTTGCCCAGCCCAATTATTTAGAACAATTTGGTCTCTGATGGCTCTGCCTCAGGGCAGGCAAAATGATAGGGAATTGGATATTGGCTGCGAGGCTTTTGCGAGCTATTTTGCAGATAAAGTCTTGTTGCTCCGCCACGACCTCCCCACCACAGTTGAAACAGTTAGTGAACTCGAGGCCCCTTGCGCGTCTTCGGGTCCAGGTTTAGAATGCTTCGGCCAGTTCAGCCTGGAGGAAGTAGACAGATTACTCGTATCTGTACGCCCAACCACATGCGACTTTGATCCATGCCCCTCCTGGCTCATTAAGGCGGGCCACGAAGGGTTTCGAGGTGCCTTGAGGGAGATTGTCAACAAGTCCCTCTCGGAGGGGCAGTTCCCCGAGACACTCAAGGAAGCGATGGTCCACCCTCTCTTGAAAAAACCAACTCTGGACCCGGCCGAATTGGCCAACTATTGGCCAACCGCGGTGGCAGTTCAGCTACAGGGTTACCTGGATGACGCTTCTGTCCTTGACCCTTTCCAGTCCGGTTTTCGCCCGAGGCATGGGACAGAGACAGTACTGGTTGCCCTGACTGATGACCTCCGTAGACATCTGGATCGAGGCGGTGCGGCGGCGCTGTTGCTGTTAGATCTGTCGGCCGCATTTGATACGGTTGACCACCAGCTGCTGGCTCACCGCCTCGCCGACGTGGGGATTAGGGGGCTTGCCCTTCAATGGCTTGCCTCATTTCTCCAAGGCTGTGGACAGAGGGTAGTGCTAGGGGAACGGCAGTCTCGGAGGCACCCGCTTGAGTTTGGGGTGCCTCAGGGGGCTGTTCTTTCCCCGATGCTGTTTAACATATACATGCACCCCCTTGCCCAGATTGTCCGGAGGTACGGGCTGGGGTGTCATCAATACGCAGATGACACCCAGCTCTATTTGATGTTGGGCGGCCGGTCAGACTCCGACCCAGAAGATCTGCACCGGGCTTTACAAGCTGTGGCTGGGTGGCTCAGGCTGAGCAGGCTGAAGTTAAACCCGGCGAAGACAGAGGTCCTGTGCTTGAGTCGGACCGGACCGGGGCTAGGGCTTCCACTCCCGACCTTCGATGGGGCACCGTTGGTGCCAGCTTCGGAGGTTAGGAGTTTGGCCCAGGTGGCCTTTTATCATCTTCGGCTGATACGGCAGTTGGTTCCTTTCCTTGACCACAGTGACCTACTACAGTGATCCATGCGACGGTCACCTCGAGGCTAGACTACTGTAACGATCTCTACATGGGGCTGCCTCTGTCGCAAATCCGGAAGCTACAGCTGGTGCAGAATGCTGCGGCCAGGTTGTTGGTGGGCGTCCCGGGCTGGGAGCACACCCGACCTGTGCTAAAAGCGCTGCACTGGCTGCCTATAGCATACCAGGTTCGCTTCAAAGTGCTGGTGCTTACCTTTAAAGCCCTACATGGCCTGGGTCCGACTTACCTGAGGGACCGCATTTCCCCATACATTCCCCAAAGGGCACTTCGGTCGGGGTCACAACACCAGCTGGTGACCCCGGGCCCTAAGGAGGCCAAGCTTGTGGCAACAAGAGCCAGGTCTTTTTCAGTGGCAGCTTCTACCTGGTGGAACGAGCTCCCGGAGGAGATCAGGGCCCTGCGGGACCTTGTGCAGTTCCGCAGGGCCTGCAAGACGGAGCTCTTCCATCAGGCTTATGAGTAGGAGCCGCCACAGCCACTTACACCACCGCTCTTTGTAAAGGGAGACCACCGGGGGGGGCAACATCTTTGCATCACCCCAGCCTCCCCCCCCCCGTTACACAAGATGTTAGAAGTTATATGTGCATCCTCAGAACTGATTTTAAGCTGTTTTAAGTTGTTTTAATTCTGTATTCTGTATCATGTGATTTGTATACTGAACGCACTCGGTGCCTTATGTAAGCCGCCCTGAGCCCGCTCGTGGGGAGGGCGGGGTATAAATGTCATAAAATAAATAAATAAAATAAATTTTAAAGGAGAATGGATTGCCAATGGCAGTTTCTCTGTTTATGCTGGGTTGCCATGGGATCGCAGGCAATACACAACTTTGTGGGAAAGCTGCATGTGATTTACTGCCAATTTTGCATTTATTTAGCACTTGGGATATCTGCTTCATCTGGAGGATTAGGAATTTAACATCTGCATCTGAGCCATGATAGTTAATTACCTGGTTCTCAGTATAAACTGGGCTAGCAGTTCCATTACTATTTTCTAGAAAAGAAATTCAGTACGGAAGAACAAAACTGAATTGTTTCTTGAAACATTCATATATTTAGTTGTTGCACAAAAGGGAGTAAATATGCAGTAAAAAAAATTACTACAGACCCATCCTTGAGCAATTCTACAATAACTGAGAAAGTACACATAAAGTAAGGTGGGTGAGTATGGAAAACCTCTTACCTCATCATACATAAATTGAAGCGTAAGGGCCGACTTGCCCACACCACCACTACCAACCATGATTACTTTGTGGAGGGCCAAAGAGCTCTGGTTTTTCGTCTTGCTAGCAGCCATCTTTCTGCACAACTGTCAAGTTTCACCAGGGCAGACCAAAGAGCTACAAGCCAAGAAACAGAAGTTGCATTTCACTAAATAAATCAAGTGCCTTCAGACTGAACAGACTGGCAACAAAGGAAGAGAGGAGACTGGATTTATACCCCACCGTTCACTACCCAAAGGAGTCTCAGAGCAGCTTACACACTCCTTTCCCTTCCCCTCCCCACAACAGACACCCTGTGAGGTAGGTGGGGCTGAGAGAGCTCTTGACAGAAACTGATCTTTTTCAAGAACAGCTCTAATCAGAACTACGGCTTGCCCAAGGTCATCCAGCCAGGTGCAAGTGGAGGACTGGGGAATCAAACCCGGTTCTCCCAGATTAGAGTTAGAATAGATTTATACCCTACCCTTCACTACCCAAAGGAGTCTCAGAGCAGCTTACACACTCCTTTCCCTTCCCCTCCCCACAACAGACACCCTGTGAGGTAGGTGGGGCTGAGAGAGCTCTTGACAGGAACTGCTCTTTTTCAAGAACAGCTCTAATCAGAACTACGGCTTGCCCAAGGTCATCCAGCCAGGTGCAAGTGGAGGAGTAGGGAATCAAACCCGGTTCCCCCAGATTAGAGTCTGCGCACTTAACCACTACACCAAACTGGCAATAAGCCTTAGAATAAAAGCATGAAAGCACTAAGAAAAAGACCCAAGGAAAAAAAGTTGCACTCTTTCTACTTCTTCCTGGAATCCTGTTATTCAAGAAAGGAGGAATAAACAGGCCTTAAGAAGGCAGAAATTTAGAGTTCAGGAGTCTGAATTCTAGCCTGTGTCAAACTGCATCAGTGTACACACAGACACACACACATTCAAATTTTAGGCACAAAAGGATTAAGCTTCTGCCCACCCAACTCATAAAAACAGGGCCAATGACTCACAGGAGACAGTGAGGCAATTGAAAAGCTTGAAGCATCCTATTATAGTAACTGCAGCTGGAGCTATTCAAGAAGATGGGTAATTTAACCCTGCTGTGCAGGCTGTGCGTTTTCTATACAAGCCAGATACTTCTAAAGCTATTCTTAAATCTGCCCACATTGTAGGATACCTGTTATGTCTCAGTAAAACCAGGCTGTTGTAGGGTCAGGCTTCCCCTGTGTGAATTATACATGACTATGAGTCTCCAAATCCCCTTCAACACTGGAGTAACAACATACTTTTGAGTCCTGTGAATTTCAACTACTGATTAAGGAGAATTTCAGTGGGAGCACAGTTCTGAATGAACAGGAGCTTCCTTGAGGCACATCTTTTTGCCTAGAATGCAAAATGCCTAGAAGCAGCTGCCTTGCAGAACCCTGTTCACTACGTGGGTAAATGCAATTATGTAAACACTACCAGAGGAAAGTTACAGTATTTCAGCACAGCATTAAATTTATCCTCCTCATACCTCTTGAGAAGCTGAGGAACAGCTTACAATATTAACCCAAGAGTGGTCCAAATTAGAGACGAAAAACCAACCACACTTTATATACCTTATTTTAATGCAAAACAACTAAGATGTTGAAATTACTACATTCAGCTAAACACTTATAACGTCATTTCAAACACTGAAAGTCTCAGCTTTTAAGAGCCAACAGAAATTTGTCTCTGTTTTAAATTTAACCACATGCCTTCAAAAGCTAGAAAGTCATTCAAGTACTTTCTGAAAACCTGCTTAAAAATTCAATTAAAACAGTTGGCCAAGCTAGCGTGATCTTTCCACTCATCTGATTTGCCATACAGCTGGCATTCACTAGACTCCCCCAGTTACTATGCAGCTGAAATCAGCTGTTCATTTGGTCTATACAAATACAAACAGAACTTCAAGTACCCAACTCCTATAATTGGTTTAAATTTTGCCTTGAGATATTTGTCTGAACAGCAATAATAGTGAATTATTTATACTTTTGTAGCATGTGTATGGGAAAAAAGATTCTTCGATTATGAAATCACAAATATTTTAAGTTAGTTGCACCCCAACTATAGAAACCAAGTTTACCCTGTAATACATCCAGATGTTGTCCATAAATGCCTACTTTTAAAATGTTATTTAATCTGGTGGAGTGGGGGACAAGGAATGAAAGCTACAGAATTTATTGCTGTGACCACCTATCTTGATTGCCAAGCTGAGACAGCATCCTCTTCATATGGATGTTCTCTGTACATTAGAGTGTTCAGAATCAAGAGAAAAACAGACCTTTGGGCATTTACCCTGAAGGGTTCCTCTACTCTGAGGAAAGGAGAACATCTTTGGGTACTTCCCACCATCCAATCGTGGAGGCAGGAACTAAATTCTTCCTCTTCCTGTCTGGCATGTGGTACACCCTCTCTCTTCAGTTCAGGTGACTTCACGAAGCAGTAGAACACAAACTTCCTAATAACATCAATAAACTCAAAAAGTAACAGTGACAAACTTTAACTGCAACAGGCAACAACAAAGGATGCAGACAGGAAAGAAAAGTGCAGCAGCAGCAGCAGCAGGACGAAGACCTAGGGAGGGCAAGATGTCCTCATAAGAACATATGAGAAGCCAATGCTGGATCAGGCCAATGGCCCATCCAGTCCAACATTCTGTCACACAGTGGCCAAAAATACCAGGTGCCATCAGGAGGTCCATCAGTGGGGCCAGGACACTCCTTTCCTCAGAGGAGGAAGACCCTTCATGGTAAGTGTCCAAAGGTCCATTCTCCCTCTGAGGCAGAGGACACCATTGGGCTTCCAACTCCCAAAGCAGCGCTTAAGACTTGGGTGGGTTGTCATCATCTAAGACAACACACTGCAACACTCTTCTTCCAAAGGCAACATCTGCTGATGCATACAGCTTCAACTGTCGTGTCGCACAAAGGTAGAGAGCAATGACCAAATTGCCACCTTACAAACTACTTCTACTGATGCATTTCTGAGAAAGGCTGCATTGATGGCTGCACTCTTAAGTGTGCTGTTATCTCCTAAGGAATATCAAGGCCAAGAGATCTGTATGCTTCCAACAATGCAGGAGTTAATAGCCAAGCTTACGGCCTCTGAAGACATTTTTCTTCCCAAGTTAGGACCAACAAAGTATTATTCCAAGTAGAAGATTTCCTGTGCATGCACACTTCTTTAGGGAGGTTCTTCTGACAAGCCCTGCTCTGCTGTTTACTTTCAGATTTGTTGTTGTTCAGTCGCACAGTCGAGTCCGACTCTTCGCGACCCCATGGACCAGATCCTGCCAGGCCTTCCTGTCTTCCGCCGTCCTCTGAAGTTGGCTTAATTTCATGTTCGTTGCATCTATGACACTGTCTAACCATCTCATCCTTTGCCATCCCCGTCTTCTTTGACCTTCAATCTTTCCCAGCATCAGGGTCTTCTCCAGTGAGTGCTCCTTTCTCATTGGGGGGCCAAAGTATTTGAGCTTCAGTTTCATTATCTGGCCTTCCAGAGAACATTCAGGGTTGATTTCTTTTAGGATTGACTGATTTGATCTCCTTGCAGTCCAAGGGACTCTCAAGAGTCTTCTCCAGCACCATAGTTCAAAAGAATCTATTCTTCGGCGCTCGGCCTTCCTTATACTCCAACTCTTGCAGCCATACATGACTATGTATGCAGACTTTTGTTGGCAGGGTGATGTCTCTACTTTTTATCATGCTGTTTAGGATACCAAATAACAATAGCTGCCCTTGGTAATGAGAGAAGAAACGTAGGTCTCAATTCAGCCAGGAAGATGCATTGAGCTTCATTATCAATCTCCCTTTGAAATGCCTTTGTAAGAGAACTGCTACTCTTAGATCAGCAACTGAATGTCCTGGAAGGTTAAAATGTCCCCCCACTGTTTTTTTGAATGTTGTGGTTTCTTATTGCTGTAGAAAGAGTAAGAGTCCAGCAGCACCTTAAAGACTAACAAAATTTGTGGCGGGGGATGAGCTTTCATAAGTCACTGCTCACTTCTTCAGACTTGTGTCCATTTATTCTTTGCATCCTTCTGGACAGAATCCTTTTGGACCAAACTGAGACCTAGGTTTCCTGTCTCATTACCAATGATGATATCTCCATGCCTACTACCCCTCTGCATATCACACCTAATCCAATCAAGCCTATTGCCATTCGGCATCTGAAACCACCTTTGTAAAGTTTGTATCTCCAGTACCTCGTGTTACATTTAATGGCACACATGGTCCAGCCCAGTAAACTGACAGTTATGTCAGATCTGGCCCTTGTAACAAATGAGTTCAACTCCTCTGATTTGGAGTGTGTCCTAACTTCTCCCTGGGATGCTTCTGATCCGGACAGAAAGATGGTAAACATATTTCCTGTGCTTTGTGGAATCTGAAATAGACTTTTGGCAGGAAAGTGGAGTCAGTGCGTGGTTGACCAAGAATCAGGGGTCATTTTGTAGAAAAAGAGCTAGGGGAACTCATTAGCATAACTCATTAGCATATGCCACACCCCCTGACATCATAAGGCCCGGCGGTGGACCTGCAAGGCCGGCGGGAGTGCGAGGAAGCCCCGCCAAGGCCTTCCCTGGCCCCAGGCAGGCAGGGGTAGGGAGAGGCGGGGAGGAAGCAACTTACCCTCCCTCTTCTCCTGCCTCCTCCTGGCTGAATGAGGGCCGGAAGCAGGGCGGCCGGAAGCAGGGGGTGTGGCTTTGTGTGCCCCCCCACACCTCACCCGGGGGAACTGCGTTCCCCCGCGATCCCCCCCGAAATGACCTCTGACCAAGATAAACTGTATACAGCAGATAACATGCTCCCTCGACGCCCCATCCTAAATCTCCACTATGCACCTGGTAATAAACCCACCATGTAGTTTTAGGCTGCTGTGAGTGCCTCAGCCGCCCTGAGCCTGCCTCGGCAGGGAGGGAGGGATAAAAATCAAATAAATAAATAAATAAAGATCCAACAGGAGACACAACAGTTCCTGTAAAAGGAATAACAGACAGGTTGACTCGAACAGCTTCCAAGATTTACATTGTGTTTGCATGCAACATTTTACAAATCATGCTTTTCCAGACTAGTTCGGGAGCATCCTTAAATGCTTACATTTAACCAAATGGATCCT